ACATCTACTGATTGTGTCTTTGATTACATCACATTCACAGATGTCTTCACCGGTGAACTAATCGGCAAATTTTGTAACTCAAAAAAGCCCCCAAAATATATACTTTCCAATTGGAATAAACTGCTCATAGAATTCAATACCGACTCAACCCTAGCCGGCCGTGGATTCAGTCTCACATATGTCGCCCAGAAATTTGAATTAAATGATAAATTAGCGCAACTAATGATAGGACCAGAGGGTGCCTGTCCTCCCAATTGGTCCTTCTTTCGAGGCTATTGTTATAATGCATTCTTCGAGAAGGAATCCCTTCAATGGTAACTCGTTTTATGAATTTCTGTGCTTTTATTTGATTTGATGATTTGGTTCATCACTTTAGGTATCAATCGGAAGAAAAATGCGCTCAATTTGAGAAGGGAAGGGACGGCCATTTGGTCAGTATTACAGACCAACACGAGATGCAAGTCGTCCACTATTTGTTGATAAATAAGTGGAAAGTAAGTCCCCATCAAAGCATTTATATTGGATTAATCGATACGAATAGAGAAGGGTTTTATAACTGGAGTGACGGAAATCCTATGAGTTATACTGACTGGTCGTATGGGCCCGAAGATGGAGAGATCGTGGCCTCACAGCCAGACGGCGGCGCCTTTGAGGACTGCACTGTCATTAAGATTGATTCGAGTCACTCGACGGCCAACTGGCACGACATCCCCTGCTCTCTGGGCAAACGGACTTCACTCAAATCGCAACCAATAAATACGACAAAAATGCTTTCGGATGTAATCAGTAGTTATGTCTGTAAAATGGATTCCAGTTATGCCACACAACAGTTCCGACTTCGGGAGCCATTGTTTACAAACGTTATCACTGAAGACGAAGAAGAAATCTACAGACGTGTCGATGACAACAGATATTTTGTGTGCGAAAACTTGGAAGTGATCTCTAATTTGTTTAAATGTGACGGAACTCCTAATTGTAGGTCTGATAATAATTTCATCTCATAATATGTTTTATTTATAACTAATGAACACAAATCCAAAAGAGACGGAAGTGATGAAGCATTTGGTTGCGATACTTCGGGAAATTCATGTCTCGAATCCCAATTCAGATGTGCGAACGGCCGGTGCATTGCCATAGGAATGGTAGGTATTCATGAATATAGTGTACTGTATAATTTTCACTTGATCAGTTTGAAGTAATTAAATAATTCATTTGATAACTCATTTGGTATAATAAACCAATAGTACTGTGATTTTGTTGACGATTGTGGCGATGGAAGCGATGAAATGTTTTGCGAGAGACGTCAGTGTAAGAAGACCTCTGAGTTCCGGTGCAATAACGACCAGTGCATCGCTCTCTCCAAGAGATGTGATTTACTCACCGATTGTAAAGACTTAAGCGATGAGGGGTTCGCCTGTACTCTGATCGCCACTCCATGCAATTTGAACACAACATTTCAGTGCTATTACGGCAATTGTATCCCATTGTACGCACTGTGCGATCGGCACAGAGACTGTCCGGGAAAGTTTCATGAAGACGAACAGGCGTCCAGATGTCAGCGAATTAGTGCCACAAACAGTGTCCAGAAACGGGCCACTCATGAGTCAGTAGACTTTTGGCACACAAAACGCATTCACGACCAGGTCTTGAATGTATGGCTCAGGAATGAGAGGAGTGCCTGTCTGTCCATTAAGCGCAGGAATTGTCGGGTCTGACAAGTCATGTAATAATGTGTTGACTATTTTCTAAAATAATTTACCATTTGATAGGATTTGCAAATTTTTGAAAACATTGAGAGGAGCGGCACTTATTTCATTGAACCCGAAGACTCGTCTTCCATAGGAATGACAGTCGAGTGTCGGTTCACAGACGAGGGCGCGAAGACTGTTATACATCACGACTCTGAAGACAAACTGTATGTCCGAAGTGATATCGACGGACCGGCAACTTATTGGCGAACAATTAGCTATGAATACAATCTCGAGTCAATCGTTGCACTCATTAATGGCTCCAATTCTTGCAAACAATATATCAGTTGGCAGTGCTCTGGAACCGGATTCAGATTCAATTCAACAAAACCCGTCTCATATTGGATTTCCAGACAAGGTTTGTGTCAATGATTATATATCTCATATAATTACACTGCTGAATAAATAGTACCTCGCAAAACCTAATACAATTTAATGCACTCAGGAATAGCTCAGATGTCATGGGGCGGTGCCTCTGCGGGCAAATGCGGGTGTCATCCAAACTGTTTGCAGTCTAACCTCACCTGTAATTGTGATTCTGAGATTAAATTTCAATGGCTCGAGGATTCCGGTTATATCACTGATAAAACCAAACTTCCCGTTACTCGAGTGGTATTCGGGGAGACTTACAAATTAGGACAGTCCGGTTATTTTCATGTCGGACCCCTTGAGTGCGAAGGAAGTATTAAAAGTTCAGAAAGTAGGGACTCGTGTCGAGTGCAAACTGGGAACATACCTGACTTCAAGTGTCAATCCGGACAAATAATTGCTCAGAAATTTAAATGTATTTATGAATTTGATCAGTTGGGGTATCAGATCGGCTGCAGAGACGTCTCACATTTAAGGGACTGCGAGACCTATCAGTGTCCTGCAGACTATGTCAAGTGTACCGATTCGTACTGTATTCCTCCTCGCTATATATGCAATGGTATAACATTTGAAATATGAGATAATTTTAGATATTTTAATAACTACTTTGTCTTCAGGCAAATGGGATTGTGTGGGCGGGTCTGACGAGGTCGGGTGCGCTCGGTATATGTGTCCGGGTCAGTACAAGTGTGCCAATGAAAGCTCGTGTGTGTTATTACATCAACTGTGTGACGGTATCAGACATTGTCCTCTGGGGGATGACGAGTGGTTTTGTGAGCTGACGTGTCCGGACAACTGCACCTGTATCGGACTGTTTGTCGACTGCAGAAATGCAAATCTTAACCGACTTCCTGTTGAGTCGATTCCGAAAGAGACACGAAAGCTAGAGCTCACTAATAATGGTTTGGGACCTAACCTGTCGAATGCAGACTTCAGTTTCTTTGGGGACTTAGGAGAACTCATACTCCAAAGGAATGGCATACAAGTGATTAAATCACGAAAATTCTTGCAATTGACAAATCTCTACAAATTAGATCTGAGGTTTAATAACATAAAAGTGTTAGAATCGGCCGCTTTTGCCGGTCTTAAGAGAGTGAATAATCTTCTGTTGGAAGAAAACCCCGATCTCTCGATTATAGAGCCGCGAGCTTTCGTTGGACTCACTTCTCTCAGACATTTGAACATCTCTTTCATTAATGTTGAGGTCTTAGAAGAGAATGTTTTCCTTCAAATGTCTTCTTTGCAAACATTAGTCTTCACAAGAAGTGGACTTAAAATCATAAAGAAAGGAGCGTTCAATGAATTGACTTCTTTGATATCGCTTGACATAAGAGACAATGATTTGCAGACATTTCCCAAAGACATGTTTAACGCACTCAAGTCTCTACGGTTTCTCTCAACTGATAGTTTCAAGTTTTGTTGTTTAGCCTCTAATATAGTCCCCTTTGAAAGGTATGCTATGATAAAATTTTAATTATTGTTTGTTCAACAAAGTTTCATTTATAACTTATTTGTATCCAAAAATAAGATGTATTCCACCTCAGGATGAAATATCTGATTGCGAAGACTTGATGTCAAATTTGGTGCAAAGAGTAATTTTATGGTTTTTAGGAGTTGTGGCCCTATTGGCAAACGCAGCCGTTGTCATCTGGAGGTTTCAGACGCGCCTCTATTCAAACCCAGTCAGCTCTACACTGATTCTGTCGCTGGGATGTGCAGACTTCTTGATGGGCATCTACTTAATGATCATCGCATCGGTCGATGAATTCTACAGGTATTACAAAATATATGTTAAATTGAGAATATGATGACTAATTGCATGATATATCAGAGGACGATATATAGAGAATTCTGATGTTTGGAAACATAGTATTCTCTGTCAGTTCTGTGGATTCCTTTCCACAGTTTCATCTGAAGTCTCGGTCGCGACACTAGTTTTCATAACAGTCGACCGATTGATTTGTATTTCATTTCCATTTTCTTGGCGTAAATATACAATGAGTCTAACTTATAGGTAATTTTAGAAAAATTAATTAAATTAGTGTTTAATTTGTGTTTATTGTTTAGACTAATAGCATTGTCGTGGGTGATAGTGATAGTGTTGGCAGGGCTGCCGTTATTTCCAATTCCATATTTTAACGGCAAATTTTATGCCCGATCGGGCACCTGCCTGGCCCTTCACATAACCCCTCACAAACCAGATGGTTGGGAGTATTCAGTGGCAATATTTTTATGCATTAATTTATTAGCATTTTTAATAATCGTCGGATGTTACTTCTTTATGTATAAAACCATACATTTGTCGCGAAAAAAGATGAATAGACTTAAGGCCAGACAAGTCAGAGAAACTCAGGTATTAGTCATTAAATTAAGTTTATAAATTATATAAAATTAAATATTCATTTTATCCTGTAAAGTTGACTTCTAAATAAAATAACATTTGCCATATTATATATAAGGTTGGTCGACAAATGGCACTCATTGTCATAACAAATTTTTTATGTTGGTTCCCTGTTATTGTAATGGGAATGATGTCACTGGCAGGGTTAACAATCCCAGGTAATTTAATCATGAATTACAGTTAATGAATGTGAACAAAGTTATATAAATGAACTGATTATGTATTACAGGAGCAGCATATTCTTGGACAGCGGTGTTTGTGTTTCCCCTGAATTCAGCGACAAACCCAATAATCTACAGCTTAGCTCAGTCTCCCATCTCTTTATTCACTTTTAAGACAAAACGCGATTCACTGACCACTCGATCACTATTGATGTCACTCAAGCAAAAAAGGAAAGCTTTAGAAAGGAGTACCAGTACTGCAAACGGCAAACTTTTAAGACCTCCTCCAGGATATGTCTCTCTCATTGAATTCTTGGATACAGCAGAAGATCTCGAACCAAAACATTTACTAGAAATTAGTTATTCTATTAGTGAAATCATCAAGGATGTTCACCATAAGGGCAATGCTTTAGGGGGCATTGAGTTTGAATCCATTTATGTATCAAATCAGGTAAGACTGGTGGCGTGAAGCCAATATTCATTGATATTAAGTGATAATATTTTGTACAAACTATAGATAACTGGGGAACGCCTTCAAGTATATATTCCCGACTTAAGTACATATCATGTGGTGGATGCCGAGGAATGCGATGACTTTGCCTTTGATATGGAAGAGTTTGGAAATCTGGTCAAAAGGATGCTTCGTATATATCATATAAGGATCAATTCTGCGCCCAATAATGGCCATCAATATAATGAATCAGACAATGAAAGTGATGAACAATCAGATAAACACAACGACGAGACAAACCTTTAAACATTTGATAATTTTGTGAATACTTTGAATTTAATTATAATACTCTCAAAAACTCTGTAATTTATATATTATTCTCTTTAATATTAAATTAAATTATTTATTTTGGTAAACATTTAAGAATTTCACTCTAATAAGCATTACAAGTGGAAAGTTACTGTAAATTGTCCCTCAAGTGACTCCTTTTTAGGTACTAATGACACTCTATTGATGTGTTTACCCCACGAGTCCTCTATTTTGGAGTCTTCGCTCTGGTGTTGATCCGTTTCAACACTTAATTCATTTAAATCAAAACTCATGTAAAGTTTTGTTTTGTCATTTTCAAGAAGTATTTCTCCATTTTCTGTATTCTTGTGGTTTAAAGTGGTTATGAAATGAACTTTAGAGGGCTTTACAAACTTGTTTAAACTATACGTTTCTGTCAAAGTAATTGTATTTGATTTCCTATCAAAAACCCATTTCCTGACCCAACTCTTCACTTGTGCTTCTGTAGGATAAGCGCCAGCGATGTCTGCCTCAAATTGTCCCCCGTTTTCTAATTTCGTATATTTGGCGTACTGTGCCGCATATTGAGGTCCGCACTCTTGTTCAATACCATTAATGGTTGGGCTATTATGCCATTGAGACTGAAATGTCCAAATACTATATCGATCTTTACTGAAGGTATTAATGGTGTAGGTGCCCACTCCTATGTCTATCAAGGCGGGCAAACCGTCCACATACACAACAAAACTTCCCACATCGTTGTGGTTGTGTTGAGTGTCATCTAATTAAGAAATTTTTAAAAATAAATTAATCAATATTCTTACAGTTCAACATTTACAAAATTATTTTAATAATTAATACAAACAATTAGCTCCAGCTTTTGCCCCCAAAAATAAGCCTTTAGGTGATCCTTCATTTGTTCGCAATGTAATCAACTGAAGGTCTGGAAACCACGACTCAATGGGTTGGGGAGCTTTTGGTGCAATGCCTTCAAACTGTATATTTGCGGACAATTGTATGAAAATTTGATTCAATTCTCCACTTCGAAGGCGACTTAAAATGGTTTCTTTAGATCCACGCAATTCATTCAAATAAGAGGCAAATCCTTTCATTACATTATCGTTGTATACCTTTCCGTATTCAAGAACAACAGAGGGATCGTATATTTCTCGCGGATAAGAATCCCCGTAATTAAAGAAGTGATCTTGGTCTATGTGCACCCCATAGATATAGTCTCCCGTCTTTCGTAACAACTGATTCGCTGACCATTTCATGTCATTGCCAGTCGCCGATGACAATAGACTTAAGTACTGTATCAGATGGCCGGCAGCAGCGGCCCAATAGTGCGGCCCTTCATTGTCTCCACCGTCCTCTGGGTATCGGTTGACAAATATATCAGTACTC